TGTGTGTGTGTGTGTGTGTGTGTGTGTGTGTGTGTGTGTGTGTGTGTGTGTGTGTGTGTTGAATAAGGAGTATTTGCCTCAAAGGTCAAAGAAAACATTTTGTGTGTGTGTTGAGACATGAATACAACCTGTTCGGGATTTTCTCAAATAACCGGGCTTCTTGAAACTTCAACAGTTCCTGCAATTATATTCAAATCTCACTGGACATCATGTAATGTATTACATTTTCAATCCGAAAACTTCGGTTCCTGTCCACAGGCATCAAGCTAGTGAACTGACCAGCGTTCTCAAGGCAAAAGTCAAGTCCGCGGCCTCATTGCTACAACAGAGGAAAGTCTTACAGAGAAATCTGCGCAGCCTACAGCAGCATTCACTGTCCAGGGAAATCTTAACACGTAGGTATCAAACAGGGTTTTGTTCTTGTTCTAGTTACTGCTTCTGTTGTTCTTGTTGTTCTGGGGGCTTTTTGTGTTTTTAAAAATGTATATTATTGTAATTGCAGCTGCGAACCTGTTGTAGTGAAAGCAACACTTTGAGTCTCTCAAGTTAAGTCGGAATACTTAATTATTGATCGACATCTTTAGTTGTTGTTTTTTGTTTGTTTTTTTTGTTGTTTTTTTCTTTTTTATTGTTTTTTTTTGGGGGGGGGGGGGGAGGGGCAGTAGTTGTAACCAGAAAGACCCGGATTATTTCTTTACAAAATGCCATGGCGCCTCGTCACTTACCCTGTACCACACGCACTCTGGGCATTTTCTACTGAGCATAACCAAACCATGTTTTAGGGGTTTTTGGCCTCAAAGGGTATCTGCGGTAGAACTCAATTTTGTCCTAAATATGACACGTCGAGCGCTGATGACAAAAATAATTGGATCAAAATTAAAAGTGTCCTATTGTGGATGTCTTCCAGCACAGTAGATTCCACCCTAATGTGCCAACAGCCAGCAGTTTCGGCTGACAGGCCAGGAAGTTTGAGACCTCCAAAGTTCTCTCAACTTCCGCATTTGGCAGGCTATGTTTGAGTCATATAAGACATACTTCGGTAATGTAATCCATGCGCGGTGTAACGGTTTCAAGCAGAAAATGTTATTTCAATTCTTGAGTGGGTGAGTGCTTTACCCCGAATATTATTTCTGTCTTTCAGTTGGTATGTTATATCCCACTCAGCTCGGGAAAGTTCCGACTGGCGAAGTTGAAGTAACCCACCTTTTGAATTAGAGGAATTGTGTCAGTGGGGGTAATAAGTATCTACAATTTTTTTTAAAGTACCGGGTGTCTTTAAAAAGCGGACCAATTTAACCCCTTCACTGCCAGGTCCAAGAACTGAGTAATGGAGCAGGTCTAGGAGTAAGAAACGCATTCTCGTGTTTCATAAATCCCAGTCTATAGGAACATAAATGCTTACCTTTAGTAAGAGATTTACGGCGCTTGCAACACAGAAAGGTCTTATTATATGTACGGACTATTAAAAGTCTTACAAAAAAGTAACATACAATGACGATAGACGTTTGATAGGAAAAAAGTTCAAACCATACCAAAGCACCCGCCAACCAACCACGAAAACAAATCAGGTTACTTATCAGCTTAAGCAAATAAGTTGGGTATTGTCGCTTTCCCCTCCCAACTGACGATCCAAATTCTCTTTTTTTTCTCAACCACTTGAATTTGACGGGTTAAGTCAATAAAAACGAATTACTTGCCTTTAGTGGTTTAGAAAAAAACGTAATTAAACAATAATAATAACATACATTAATATGATCAGTAAGCAAAAAGCAGACTAGATACTTATAACATAGCATTGCGTAGATTGTCTTTAGTCAACAAGTGTCTATGGTCATGTTGTACAAAGTTGTCAATTGAAACTGACCTAGTGCTATTCGATATAGCATATGCAAATGATCAAAACCGATAAAAAAGGTGTCAATTTGTTTAGTTATAGAGAAGGGGTGTTGTGCAGGGGAGTGCATGAGGGGAATTTTTCTGAGTATTGGGAAGATAAAACAGAAAATATTGGAGAGCCCCCCCCCCCCCTAAAAAAATGGCAAAAATTAACTCTATAAAATTAAACCAAAAATAGCTAGATCTATGTACTTCTGCGATTAAACGAAAGATTCCCAATAACAGTTGACATAATTTAACGCAAGTTGCGTTCTGATCTTTGATGCTTCCTCGTAATAACGGGCAATTAACCCCTTCATTGCCGAGATGCTGGGATGTTTTCGCCAACGTTTGAACAGACACAACATGTTCACTCAAAAGAGACTTAAGCAAAGCCATTGTACAGTTCCTGCATTGTCGTAATTATATCTCGTCATACGTCCCTGTAAACTCGGAGACGAAATGGCAGAGGCTCAGTTTTCGAGAACACCAGGGACTATATCTGTGTAACATATACGCCCACACAGCAGTGAAGAGGTTAAATCCCGTAAATGTTGATGTTTGGGGCATGTTGAGCTGTGTCGAATTTCATTTTGAGATAGAGCTATACTTTCAATTTTGTTTACTGTCAGTGCTTGATAATTACATATCCAGGGGCATATGAGAATTACTATATCATATCATTGTTATAATGACATTGATAGACTTCCAGTTTAGTACATAAAATCACCCCCCTCCCCCC